GCGCCGCCGCAGACGCTCTTGTACGATCCCGAGTGCGCCTCCCCGGAGAGCTTGACGGCGGATATGATCCCCGCCGAGACGAGCATCGGCCGGTTCGGCAAGAAGGGACGCAGCGCGGGCAAGTGGCTGAAGGGCGTGGGCAACATTGGGCTGGGGCTGTGTCGGCTCGAGATCATGACGGACGTTGTCCTGCCCGGGGAGCAGGCTGCGGCCACATATAAGCCGGGGGATGAGTTTGTCCTCGAATGGGGCAACGAAGACAATAAAAGTGACGTCAAGGTGAAGGCGTTTGTGCCGGGGTGGTTGCGCGAGGGATTGAGGGCGCAGCAGGGCTGAGGAAGACGGGATAGAGACTACGGAGTACTTGCATATAAATACCTAGGTACAGAGTAGATAGAGAGTAAAGAACTACACAACTTTCCTCACTGGAATCACGGAGCTTCTTGAAGTGTCTATTGGTGTGCTCGTACATCGTACCAAGTCAGTGGCCGCATAGCAGGCCGGCAAAGCAATCAATATACGTAAATAATTGGAATTGGGAAACACAGGCCACGAATACGGAATACGGCGTTGCTTGAAACGGCTGTGCGGCCATTTCGGGTGGGAACTGGGTTCCACCAGGGGCGCAGAACTGACAAGCCTACAACTGACAAGCGGGCCGGTCCCCGAAGCCTCCATGTTCAGCCCACACAGCCTTGTGACGACAAGAAAAGAAGCGAGTGTGAGAGGGAGGTTGGCAGGCAGGCAATGCAGATGTGACTGGTGACCTGGCCAAACAACAGCCAACAACCCCCCGTCCCGCTGCAGCCTGCCTCTCGTGCAACCACTTATTGGCGGCTGAAGCCCGGCCGATAAGTGCCGTAATACCAGAGTCGTGAGGCTGCGTCAAGATGGCATTGGCTGAGGTGTGGGAACGTGCAGTGGCAGAGATGAGAGTCACGAGGGGGGGCGCAATTTCGCCTAGAGAAGCTTTAGGGGGGATACAACCCCTGCGGTCTGATCAAATTAGGCAAGATTGACCTTTCTACATATGAGTTCATACCAGAGTCGGGCAAAGGAGAATTTCGGCCAGCCCGTTGCATCGACGGCGACTGCCTTTGGCGAACATTCAAGTACGGAGCAGGCCGTAGTACTGCGCATGGGGTGCAGGGTCGCCGCCGCGCCAGTCTGCCGCCAACATTGACGCCTCGCACCAGATTCCGTCCAAAATTAGTGCCGGTGCAACTCCAACAGCCTTGGTCATTGGCCGTGGTTTGTCTGATGACTGGCTTTTGGCCGATCTGGCTCTGACGGGCTGACATTGAGGCTTGTGGCATATGAGGCTGGGAAAAGGGAAAGTGAGTGAGCATCTCACCCATCTCACGCTTCTTACCCTCCCCAGCCTCACGAGTGGGAAAAGGACCATTGACCCTTGGCGCGCGGGTATGGCTTTCATCTCATCTCCAGTTCGCACTCTTGCATCTATTTAACCCCTTCTTGCCGCGGGGGAGGCAGACCCGGCAAAAGCGCAACAAGAAATCCTTCACATCACTCCTCTATCAACTTGCGCGACTAAATCATCTATATCGCCCTCCTATAAATTTGGTCCAGAAATTTGGCCCGCAGAGCTCAGGCGGGGGACAAGACGAGCAAAAATGGCCACCGGATATGCCACAACAAAGCGCCAAAAGAAGCGCCTCATAGTTTGCTGCGACGGCACCTGGATGAACAGCGACTACGGATTGTCAAAATCTAGCCCCTTTTCCAAAAAGGGGACCCTGCAGGTGCCTTCCAATGTTACTCGGATATCGCGCTGTTTCAAGCGCCGCTGCGCAGACGGCACCCTGCAAATTATTTCCTATGAGTCGGGAGTCGGCAGTGGTAGCAACACGCTTGATAGCATCACTGGCGGAGTGTTTGGAACTGGTCTTGCAGAGGTGGGTAGCTTGCTGCTGCGTTCCCAAAGCATGAGAGTAGAGTATTCGGAACTAACCAGTCTCGACAGCGTGTCCGCGAGGTGTACGCGTATTTGTGCGCCAACTACATGGACGGCGATGAGATATTGCTAGTCGGCTTCTCAAGAGGCGCCTTCACCGCGAGATCTGTTTCTGGAATGATTGCAAATTTGGGCCTGTTGACCAGGGAAGGCGTCGAGCACTTCTACCCTATTTTCAAGGATATGCAAAACTGGGAGAACGAGGACTATGACGACCCGTTTCCCGGTGTGCCATTCCGAGACAAGCCTAAAGGTGCCCACGCCGACGTCGAGTATCGAGCTCGGCTTGAGAAGATGGGTTACACTCGTGTCTATCAAAAGAACAACAACCTCATCAAAGTCAAGGGCGTGTGTGTTTGGGATACTGTCGGCAGTCTCGGTATTCCGAAAATACATTGGTTGGAAAAGCTCGGCGTTAGGCCAAACAATGACGAATAAGTCCCCCCCGCCCGCGGACTGTTCTGATTGATTCTCCTGATCTACATGTATATAAAGGCTAACCTTCAGTGAACATACAAGTGGCATGATACGGCTCTATCAGACCGAATTGAACATGCTTTCCAGGCACTAGCACTTGACGAGACTCGTACACCCTTCAGTCCTGCAGTTTGGGAACGTCCAAGGCGTGAGGGACTACGCACGGTAGACTTGCGGCAGGTGTGGTTTCCTGGGAACCATGGAAACTGCGGTGGCGGATGGGACGACCAGGGCATCGCTAATGCTACATTGGCCTGTAGGTTCCGGTGCAATTTGAAACCCTCCTCATTGTCTATCAGCGCTGACTTTACTAGGGATGATGGATCAAATGACCAGCATCGGCGTGGAGTTTGACACGCCATCACTAAAACGAGTAGTCGAGCAGACGTTTGATTTCTATGAGTCTCCCGAGGCACAAAAGCAGAAGAAAGACCGGAGAAAGCTCAGGCAATGGGCCGTTGATCCAATTTACGACAACAACAAGCCGCTCAGGCCATGGGCTTTGGGATCGATCCAAAAAGTAGGCGGTGTTTTGTACGCCCTATCCGGAGATACGATTAGGACTCCGGGCATGTACAAGCAAGTTGATCCAAAAACATCGCTATGCCGAGAAAAGTACCTGCAGGATACGAACGAGAAAGTACACAGCTCTGTGCGAGTGCGGCTGGCATGCGAGGGTTTGGGCCTCAATGACGAATCCATATGGACATGCCAAGCGCTTTCGGACTGGAAGTTGAAGCGGGCCATCTTTGAATATGATGAAGAACCCACGGTTCATGAGTACAAGCCATATGACCGGTACCGCGACCGGCCGTCTCGTGAAGGCTGGATCTGGAAATACGTTGGCAGTGAGAAGAACGCACCGGGCCAAAGAATTATGCCCGAAGAGCCTCTGGGGCCATATGAGCGATATGTGTTGGAATTATCGGGTGGAAACCCAAATGTGTACGATTATGCCGAGAGGAGAGCAAACAGGAGCAAGAGAAGAAGCAGGTCTGAGCGATCACGGAAGGCGTTGAGGCAGGGGGCGTCCCATACTTACTAAGCATTAGACATGAGGAAGCTTTGTACTAGCCAGCAGGAATGATTTCTGAATACCACCATGAATACAAACACTGGTCCTCTATACTTTATGCCCGATATTATCTCACCCGTCGTCAATGCAAGAAGTCATTAAGTACCAAAGTGGCTAATGAAAGGTCAGCGTTGGCATACTGACAAAAGTGGGTCACGTGGAGCCGACCAGACTTCCAGAAAACGCTGCCCTCGACGTATAAATCTTCTTCATCTCGACTCAAGTGACAACCCAGCCTTTCTCATTCGCAACAGCTCCAAAAAAAAAAAAAACACTATCCGTTGCGAGGAGTTCAGCCCCCATGTATAACCTGTGACCGAGACTAAAGACGGCCGTGATCTTCGCGTCTGCCCACGGCACTTTTGGCCTCCAAAGTGTCACAGCTAGCACACCACCGGACTCTCCCACGAAAAATCAGTCAACCAGACGAATAGAAGAGGCACCATGAGTGAAGAAAATAGGGATCTCGTGCGTCTAGCAGGCGAATATGCCGATAGGGACATCGATCTTTACGATCTTCTCGGTGTCGATGCGCTCACTGCAAAGGAAGACATCCACCGCGCCTGGAGGAAACGCTCCATAAAGTACCACCCGGACAAGGCCCGCGAAAACTTTGACGCAGAGAAATGGGAGCTTTTTGAGAAGGCGCGAGATATCCTGTCAGACGCGAATGCTCGCGCCGTGTACGATGGGGCCAGCAAGGCCAAGCTCCTGCGCAAGCAAGAGCGCGAGGCCATGGACAAGGAGCGCAAGAAGTTTGCCGATGATCTCGAGGCGCGAGAAGACGCTGCTAGGAGGGCGAGAGAGGAGAAGCAGCAAAAGGAGCGGGAGATGCTACAGAAGGAGAGGGAAAGACTTGCCGAGCAGCATCAGATGCGAGCCGAGGAGACTAGACGGCAAGCTGCAGCCGCGCAAGAGGTGGAGGACCTAGCCGAGGCCAGAAGGCGGCTGAAGGAGAAGAAGGATGAGAAGGCGAGAAAGAAACAGGCCAAAGAGAGCATGAAGGCAACTCTCGGATCGATCGGCAAACCCTCTGGGCCTGCGAATGGGGTCATCAACGTTCCGGGGGACTATGTTGCGGATTTGGGTCTGAACAAGCAGTACTGGGAGTTGGTCTGCGACAAATTACGCGCCATTCAAGCAGTAAGGAATTTACAGAAGGAGGATACGCCGGCAGAAATCCTGCAAGAGGCAGAGAGGGTCGTTCAGGAGGTCCGGAGCAAGATTCACGAGGCCGAGGTCAGGTATCAGCAAGAAACGGCAACCACGTAAGGAGGATTCCCACGATTACGCTGAAAGAAAGAGAGAGAAAAAAAAGACTGTCACATTGTGCTACAGTATTTTCTATTTCGTGAGATCCGGAGCCATCTCAAGCTTTCTCTTCTAGTCTTAGAACACGGATGGCGTTTGATCCCATGATGGCCTTGGCCTCGGCAGACCCTTCACCAACAGCCTTGACAACAGCTTCTGCATTCAGACTGACGCTTTCCCATGCCCTTGTTCGTCACTCGTGATGGGCGGGAAGAACGGATGGTCGGTGCCAAACATGAGTCTGTCGGAACCACTTGCATCGACTGCGGCCTTCAACCCGACCTCCGAATATATGACAGCATCCAGGTAGACCTGTTCCTTGAGCACATCCCAGACGGTGCGACGGTTCCCCCCAACTTTGCCTTCTCGAACAAGCTGCCCATCGTGGAAGATGCAGCTCTCGATTCGGCCTGCGAGGAACGGCAAGGTGCCGCCACTGTGCGCGAGCAACATCCTCAGGTCGCGGACCTGGTCAAAGACGCCGGCCAGATACATGCGTGCCACGGCAATCGTTGTCTCCATGGGGAAGCCCAAAGCCAGCGGAAGAACATGCCCGTACTCGCCAGCGCGGGGGCCCCACACGTCGTTGGGCAGGCCGTAGTGAGGGTGAAGGAAAATGGTCAGATTTGCGGCAGCCAGTGCTTTGAAGATTGGAATAAGATGAGGGTCGTCCAGTCCCTTGCCAAGCCCCGAGGTGCCAAGGATGACACCACGGCAGTACTTCAGGTCCTTGAGGTGGGATATCGACGCCAGAAGAGTTTCGAGCGGCGCGGTCAGAGGCAACGTGCCGAAGAAGAAGAGCCGGCCGTGGTGTTTGCCGCACATGTCTGAGAATTCGTTGTTTACAGACTTGGCCACGTCGCCGGCGTCGGAGGCGTTGACAAAGTCCAGCCACGGGTTAGCCAGAGAAATGACAGATATATTGATGTGATGAGTGTCCATGAAGTGAATCTTTTGGTCGAGCGATGCGAAGTGAGATGTCAGAGGTCGTCCTGGAGGCTTTGCTGAGGGGTCGTCGATGGCTTTTTCCAAGTCTCCGAGCTCAGCTTCCAGCAGGATGAGAAGGGGCTCGGGGGCTTGAGGAAACTTGCGGATCAAGGGGATTGTCGCCCGAGACTCGAGAATCTTGATATACTGGGGGGGATACATGTGGGTGTGGATGTCCACGACGGTCAGATTTGACGTGGCCATGTTGGGCAGGGGCCGCGGTTTCTCTAGCTGAGCTGGGATACAGGAGGTTTGCAGTCGATGCGTTGGTCCCGTCTGAGCGTGGATGAATGAAGCCGAATCTGCTGCAACGAGGTGTATGAAGAGAGAAGGAAATGTGTAGATGCATTGACGTCTCATGACGAAGTAGCGGCACCGCAATAGGACCTGGTGTGGCTACCCCTCGTCTGTAGTAATTCTTGCAGCGGCGCCTAATCGGGACTGTTGCCTTATACTTGACTCTCTCTCTCTCTCTTCTCTCTCTATTTTTTTTTATTTTTATTTTTTATTTTTCCTTCTTTTGGGTCGTGGATCTGGGGATGACATTGGGTACGAGGATCGTATCATCTTGACAGGTAGAATCATTGGCCAAGTCTCAAGTTCAACCAGCATTCAGTAATGGCACACGCAATCCATGCATCTGTGCCATGACATGCGAACCAGGTTCTTTTCGGCTGGCGACGATGATGATCACCTATGCCCCCGCACAGGAATACAACGTCACGTCTGCGGGCTTCCCCTTTAGATATGGCAAGTGGTATTGGAAGGTCAGAAACTTGGCTGAAGTGTCGGCCATGGCCGCTCACGGTCCAAGCAGAGAGAGCCTTTTCTAAATAGAGAGAAATGAACCGACAGATGTTCCCTGGTAACTGGGCTAGCGTTTATCTCGAGGTACTCCGTATGTTATCTTTTGTCACACAAAAAACGGACGTGGCCACGCCACAATATTTTGTGTGTTATACACCCTTATATTCTCTGCGACACACCCCCTAGCTTTAGTAGACTCGTATGGCTAGAGCTATGTAAGCACTTTATTATTAGATCCTCAAATATTAATAACACGGTCATTCATGTGTATTCGTTAGGCATCTTTCTACCGCTCAGAGCTATGAAAGTAGTGTAGTTTTGTAGTTTTATAGATATAGTGTAATATGGTAATTTTTCATAAAATTATATAATCTAGTTTTATAGCTTATTAAAAGCTAGAAAGACCCACTTTTTACGTAAGCTAATTAGTTATAATATTAGCTAATTTATGTATTTATTATTATAATTCAAGTATTTTATGTAATTTATTATTAAATATTTAAGCTTTTCTAAAAATTAAAAATATAGTTTTCTTGTTAATGCTCTGGTAGTAAGGCATAACGATTTTCTGCCGCACAAATAGCACAACCCGATGAAGAGGCACTAGAGGCAATCCCACCCACCTTGGAAGGTCTGGTATTGCTCTAGCAACCGGAACTAAAATTCTAGAGGCTAGACGCTCCTGGGACCTTACGTATCCTGCCAGGACTTTGTATAAATTAGGCGAAAAGCTTGCTTTGCGCTATCAACGTATTAATGTGTCAGGGAATTTCCAGGATTTATAGAACTCATTGTCACGTTTATTTGCATTTCAATACGTTTTGACCTATCGAAATAGAGCCAAGCCAAGGATAGCTTAGCGTGTTTCGGAGTGGGGTTCGAGAAAGAATCTCTGTGTGCGAGTGGTGAAATGATTTCGATCCATTCTCGAGGAAATATAATCAAGACAAGAGCACCTCTGTTGAAAATCGCGAAGTTGAATGGAACAGCCACCGTACGAATACATGTCATTTTTCGGGTTAAGACAATAAGTCTAAGCACCTCAGCTTGTCAAGTGGTACAAGCCCCAACCGATCATCAAGACCAGATCCAGAATCTGCTCTGTAGAAAGCATTGCCAAATAAACATGCTTCTCTTCACAATAGCATGTAGGTATCTTCGCCAGGCCGGCTGAAAGCGGAGAGCCAACTCAGGTCCCAGCAAGCCTTTGCGAACCAATGCTTCACAGGTCTTTGTCTCCTTTGCAGAATCAATGAAGATGTATTCTGCATTCCAGATCATATCCTTTGTCTTGCGCATGAAGTCGTACGCTAGCAAGGCCATTGTAGGATAGACATTGTGCCAACAAGCAGAAATAAGACCATCGAAAACTTCATTGCGGTTAAGTTCTGGAAACTCCAATTCCCAAAATCGGCGATCCCATTCTGCGGCGCTGAGGATAATGTCGTCATAGGGTTCATGGCCATATACCATAAAGTATAGAAGTGTCCCAACCGCAAACTGTTCAGTTCTGGCGGAACAGAGCCCGTATGTGCCTTTCAATGGTCCAGCAAGTATTGGTCTGGCTCGTGGAGGTAAGGTACCTTCAAGTGGCTGTCCAATGGTGGTGGCATGACCAAAATCAGTCAGCTTCAAGTTGAAGTTCCTGTCAAGAAGACAGTTGCTCGCATGCAGATCATTGTGACAAAAGCCCGCTTTCTCCACATACTCAAGAGCAGAGGTGATTTGTTGTATCCACCGAGCGATAAGAGCAGGATCCTCGTATTCCTTGACCCTGATAAGACGGCCATGAAAACCATTTGTTCCTGTCTCTCGCTCCTGGCGTTCATAGAAGCGAGGGGCGATTGCCTGATGCGTGCAATATGATAGGAAAAGGTAGTCCGGGAGCATGAGAAAACACTCAACAATATGCGGACATCGACCGCGGCACTCATTAAGACGTTTGTAAAACGAGATCTCCTTGAGGAAAGGATGCTCGGCTGCCTTTTCTTCAGGGGTTCGGTCGCGACGAACAGTTTTCACCACAATAGTTGGAGTGACGTGGTAGATATAAGCGTCGAGTCCTCCGCCAATCCAGTTATGTTCCTCGAGAGCATCAGCGTAGTGGAAGCTCATGGCGAATCAAAACACATGTAATTGTAGTCGTAGCCGTGTCGAGTTTTGGCAACCATGTACAGAGAGAGGTATTAGGACGGGGTGGCGGCATGGGTGTGAGAACGGGGTGGGGAGGGAGGGTAGGGGCAGCAGACGTTGAGGGAAGGGGAAAAGAGAGATGAGGGAAGAGATTGTCTTACAAATAGGGCTCGACTAATGCCACCCACGCTATGCCTTTTTCGTCAGAGCGAGCCCTTCTCTCATTAATTACACAATACTGTAGGGACATTCCTTATTGGAGAATCAATTCTCTATAGTGAAAGTGCACAACAAAAGAAGTCAATACCAAAGACAAAGGCATTCGTTGTAGATGATAATTATGGATCATAAATACAAGCATGCGAGTACTCCGTAATTAGTTACACTAATTGTGGCGTCCCAAGATTCTCGCTGGTCGCTCTTCGGACCGCCCTTCGGTCTACCTTCGGCGCTCCCCACACCGCTTTCTAGACCGAAGCGCACGGATAATACGGAGCAGAGCTGGAATAGACATTCCAAAAGAACAACAAACTCGATAGCAGCTCAAAAAACAATCAGAAAGAATAACTGCCACATTATCTAACTCAGCACGGAGTAGTTCGTTGGCCTTTCGCAGGTAACGAATTGTCGACACTTCGCCTCGCAATATCCACGAACAGACAAAGTTGCCAAGGAATTCTAGAAGTGTCGTCAGATTGCAAGAAATTTTGAGTATTCCAAGGTATTCCAGAAGAACTGACACGGAAACTTAAAATCAGCTGTAAATTGCTGAGGCCCACCTGTTGCGACGTCATACCATTTTCCATCGGCTGTCTGGGCCCAAAGGCCTCTATCCTTGCAGTCATCGCAAGGAAAATGCGAGGTAGTACTGGCAACGTTATTGTTCCTGCCTTTCTCTACCCCGCAGTTGTTACATCCATCACTAGGGATCAGACTGCCGGGTGTCTCAACCTTATGACGGCAAGCACGCGTAGTTATATTGTAGGTTCTCTTGCACATGTTGATGTGATCTGTTCTTGTTGGTTACTCTCTTTCTAAAAGACCTGGAAGAACAAATACCTTACGGCAGAGGCCTTCTCCGTGTTAGAAGCTTTGTGCCTATCGGGTAAGGAGAAGAGGTTTGATCTGTGTCAGAAGCTTGCTGTGTATCAGATCAGAAAATTTGAGGAAGAAGAGTCCCTTTTATAATCACGAGCCTCGCTCGATATGAAACCGTTAGGACTGCTACTTTTAAGAGTTGATGAGCCTTGTTAGGCGCCACTTATAGACAGGAATGTCCGTGGTAAGAAGGCTGGTTATTGGACGAGAGACATATCCGGGAATACATTGAGGGCCGAACACTTCGAAATGGCCCTATGAGGTTGTTCAATATTGGTGGCGGATTCGCGCAACGTGTGACCGTAATTGAGGCACCGGCCAGGCACGGGCCGCCTGGCATTGCGGCGGGGAAAAGCACCCGTTCTCTCATCATTGGCAGTCGTCCCTCCCCAGATCCACCAAGGCTTTCTTGACCCAGGCCAGGCCAAAATTGAGAGAGCGAGATACGCTACCCCCAGCTCTCAAGCTATGCTTGTGGCGCCTTCTGGACATTGAACGGCCAATAGAAAAGCCCATGTGACGAATGACCTGTGACGTGGCCAGCGGACGCGCTAAGTTGCAGGCTTCCATCCCCGCCCGGTGCCTGCTTCTGCCTGCTCCTATTGCTCCTACTGCTCCTACTGCTCCTACTCTGGAGTCGTCAGTCCGGCTGGAGTCCTCGCTCTGGCTGGAGGGACTCCCGCACTCTAGTCCTGCGGGAGTCTCTACTCGTGCCCGCCCCACTATTTTAGGCGTCTCGTTTCACTCACCACCTAAAGGTGGTGCTAGATAGTAAGGCGAGCTATCTATTAAGGTAAGCTACTTTATATAAAATGTGTATATAATAAATAAAATAAAAGGAAAT